AAAAAAACTTAATAAATATTATAAAGATAATTTTATTTGTGAATTTGATTAACAAGTAGTAACATTAACACCATGTAATATTGTTTTGTCGATATTTATGATAATATTTTTAAATTATAATTTATAATTTAATTTAATAATTATAAAAAAATATATAACTTTTAAAAAAGTGGGCTGGCCCGGCAAGCCTGTAGCCCACATACTTGTGGGTTGGGCCGACCGTTTTCTGGCCCACACCAAAAATGGGCTAGCCTGGCCTGGCCCGTAAAATGTCAAAGCCTGTATGGGTTAGCCCGGATGGGGTGGGCTAGCCCATATTGACAACTCTACTATTGGTGCCTAAAGCCAAATTTCAAAATGAGGCGATAATTTAAAATATGTGTTTCTAACTTTTTGAAATGCAAAGTAATGAATAATTATTTTATAATCGAGTTCTCATATAGATTTTTTTTCGATTGATAATATACCAAGTCAATTCAATTTCTCTTGATACACTATTGATCTAGAGTAAGATTTGATCAACTTTAATTTTCAAAAACTTATTTCATCTAAAGAGTTTTCCGATCAAATAGTTAAAAGTTCCCTTTTGTAAATTTTATTCAATTTTCAACTATTGTTTTTGGATCTTTTATTAGTTGGATTCAATTTTAGTCTTATTTAGAAACTCTTTAATTTTTCACTTTCAATGTGACATGTTTAAGACCACGAGATTAAAGAGCATTTCGATACATTTGATATAATTTTTAATTTTAAACTACAAGATTTAAAAGTCTTCTTTATTTTCTTAAATTTTGTATCAAGTCAAAATAGACCAAATAAATTCAAACTAAAGGAAAAATATATAAATGGGGCCCTTAAAATTGGGGGCCTAAAGCATTGTCTTAGTGGCTTCACATGGAAGCTGGCCATGCCTCAACATCACCTTTTCACTGGGGTGCAAAAATCAAGCCGACCTATAAATCGAATTCAAAAAAAGTGTTATTGGTTTATTGGATTAACGAATTTTTAATGATTTTATAGAAAAAGATTATTGGGTTATCAGTTCGGTTTTATTTTTTATATTGTGTTATTGGGTAAATCAATATCCCATAAAGACAACAGTACTTTATTACTTTACCCGTACATAAAAATTAAATATTAATCTCAATACCTTACTAGTTATTGCATTTTTCCTTCAATCCTCAATTTACAGTGACTTTGAGTTCACAACTTCACATTATACAAAACGTTAAAAGCTAAAGTGAGAATCCAATTCCTCTTAATTTCTCTGTGTTACAGTTGTACAGTTCTTTTCATGTTAGTTATTATTGTTGCTATTTTATGAGCATTTGTAAAGTTACATTATTGTCTTTTTGTGTCAAACTATTGGAGAAATCATATATTTTTATAAGCATTTTCTTATTTGTTAAATCAAAAAAAGAACTGTTAAGGGCCAAAACCGATAAACCAAAAATTAATAAAAAATATCTTGTTTGGTTATTGGTTTGACGTATTTAAAAATCGAAAACGCAATAAACCGAACTGATAATATATAAAACCAAACCAAACCTACCGATGCACACCCCTACCTTTCACCTTTTATTCTAAACTTGATATTCCAATTCAATTGGATACAAATCCCAGAATACGTTATAATGATATAGGGTGTGTTCAGTATAAAGGAAAATATTTTATAGTAAAATAATTATGTTTCTTACTTATTTTTTACATAAAATAAAATTAATCTTATTCCAAATATTTGTATATAATTTAAACAAATATATATAGGAGGTGGGTAGTGGGAATTGGAGCTACGGGATGGAAGTAAAGATGAGGTATGCTAGAGGATGTGATATCATATGTGGAACTTGTTGTCTTTACTTTCATTAGGGAAATTATTTTGATCATTTTTAAGCAACTTGTTTTGCTAGAGAATATGGCCACAGACAACATTTTTAGTGTTTTTGAATTAGAGAACAAGTGAGAAATAAATAAGATGACTCTTAAATCATAATATAAAAGGGAGGGATCGGTAATACAAAATATATACAAGAGAGGAGAGAAGGAGATGATTTCCTAAATAAAGTTGTAGAGGATAGAAGAGTGACCTTTTGATGATAAAAATAGAGGGCCACTTTTGTAAACCTGCCAAGTAAATTTTCATTGTTAATGAAGTTGATTAATTGTTGTCGTCCTTAACAACTATTTTCACCGTTTCAAAAAGAGTGACCTAATTTGACTTGACACAGAGTTTTAGAAAATAAAGAAGACTTTTGAATCTTGTGGTCTTAAATTAAACTTATGTCAAATGTACTAAATTGCCCTTTAATCTTGTGTCCTTAAACATGCCACGTGGAAAACTGATATTAAAATGTTATCAAAATAGGAAAAAAAATTTCTTTTTTAAACAGACTAAAAAGGAAAGGAGGTTAGTATTTTTGAAACGGAGGGAGTATTAACTGTGTGGAATAAGAAAAGATACCTTATTCTCAGAATTCAATTGTGGTTGATCATTAGGTGTATGATCACTCACATCTACCTGCACAAAATGAATGCATGGACAAATCTAATGATGATATTCATGTAACAAAATAATATATAATGCATGTACATAATATCTGACTAGTGTCAACATTTTGGTTAGTCATAACCTCCAAATATCCTGTATTCAAATCCATATTAATTAAACAAAAAAGAAAGTTTATTCTAAAGAAGAAATACTACATACATGAATATGAACAAGAACAGGAAGAGGCTTTCTTGATCTTTTCCTCAAGCTGCAAGAAAAAAGAGAAGAAGGAAGTTAGAGTAAGACACCGCCAAATTTCCAGAAAGACCTTTTCTTTTCCTTACACCTTCCCCATATATGTCTCTTCCTATTTTCACTACTTTTCTTTCTACCCACTTAAAATATTCCACTTTCTCAACAATAAACTCAGATTATTGATTATTTACTATCTAAATAAATGCCAACAACAATGAAGTAATGTGATTGGCAAAAATTTCTTTGTATTATAAGCTATTTTATAATTTTTGAGTGTTCTCACTAAATTATCCTTAGCTTATATCATCATAACTATTTCCATAGTTATGCCTTTTGGAAAATATTTTCAAAAGTTAAGAAGACAATATTTATCTATTCTAAAACGCAACGGAGTGCTGCCATATCCCACAACTTTTTCAGAAGGCTGGACCTTATACCAAATGGATGTCTGTTATGCATTTCTCCGAGGTGGTCTAGATGAAGAGGTCTATATGGAGATTCCTAAGGGCTTCAGAAAACCAAATAGGAACAAAGTATGCAGGTTACTCAAATCATTATATAGTCTTAAACAGGCCTCAAGGAAATAGAACTTGAAGCTCACAAATGCATTGTTGGTCACTAGTCTCACTCAAAGTACACATGACTACTCTTTATTCACACTAAAGAAAGGGAAGACCTAGTGATTGTGTTAGTATATGTGGATGACTTATGTATTGATTACAGGAAGTAATCCAAAATTAATCACTGAGGTGAAGGAAAATTCGCATAAGCAATTCAAGCTAAGGATCAAGGTGAGCTCAAGTTTTTTCTAGGCATTGAAGTGTTGAGATCTTCAGAGGGAGTTATTCTAAACTAGAGGAAGTATATCTTAGAGCTTATTTCTGATGCAGGCCTAACTAGTGCTAAACCTGCTGTAACGACTCGGAAAAAATAATAGGTTAAGCAAGAGCCTATGACTTTGTGTTGACTTTATAATGAGGTTCTATGAGGGGTTTATATGTAATTTCGTTTTAATTGTGTAACTCCGACAATTTAAAATGAATAAGAAGAAGCTTGAAATTGGAAGTAGTCACTTTTGGAAAAATTCAGAATCTGGAAATTTGGTTAAGTGTGGGAAATCAGTGAGTTTTTGGCCAACTTTGAGCAGTCATAACTCCTAGCTCAGGATGATCCAGGAGTAGTTCCAGTTATGTTTGGAAAGCCCTTGG